AAAATACAATAAAACGCTACAAAAATACCGCTACAAATGTGTCGCTGATCTCTATAAATACCATATCTTCTCTACATTCATTTACTCCATCTCTTTTCTTTCCTCTCCTATTCTTCTTCATAATTCTCTCTTTTTTTCTTACTATCTCATATGGTGGTTTCTTTCTCTTTACTGTATGGTAAGTGAATTTTATTTTATAATTCATTGTATCTTTTATTTGTTTTTATTTAAAATTTACTAACATATTTATTTCTCCTTTTCTTTCAGATTTTTCTTCTCCACACTTGTCATGCCCTCCTCAACTGATTCAAATACTCCTCAACCTAACACTATAGGTTCAATATTACAAAATATATCATCTTCAATTCAACTATCTTATTAAATATTCAATTAAATTATCTTATTAAATTAAATTCACTTCTTTTGACACATTCATAATTTATTTATTTTTGATTATGAAGAGCATCAAAACAAACTAAGCAACAGGAACTACAAAAGTAGCACTCGAACTAGGCAGCATATCCCTGAGGAGGAGCGCGCGAATACTATTCAAAGGAGTCTCCATTACTCTGAAATCAACCAGCATGTCTCTCGCTTCTCCTGCCAGAGCATCAGCCATTGAGTTCGCATCACGAGCACACAAGTCCACAACCACTTCCCAATCACGTTCAAGTATCTGCTGGATCTCAACCAAGATGTTAAAATCTGGGTGTTCGCAGGAGACAGATGATCTTAATAACGCCGCCAGCTCACTGCAGTCACTTTCCACTATGATATTCCTCATATTGCGATCCCATGCAAGCTTTAAAGCCCATAAAATGCCCCAGGCTTCTGCCGTAATGATCGAGCCAGGTCCCACCTTGTACATAAAGCTTTGAAGAAAAGCGCCATTATGATCCCGAAAGACCCCACCACAAGTGCAGTGGCCTGACTCCAAGTGACGAGAGCCATCCACGTTGATTTTAACAACACCAGGGGGTGGAGGACTCCAAATGGCATGCACCGAATGGCCCATTTGCTTCTGCACAGGGTTACTACTTCCCCAAGCCAAACACGCCTGAGCTCTAGAGAGAAGAGACGCCGCATCCCAACCTTGATTATTGAAAATACGATCATTCCGACTAAGCCATATGTTTCGACAAACTAAGGGGAACCACAGTCGAAACTCATATCCCCCTATGCTACGACGTTGCCGCACACACCAGGCAAGCCAAGGTGAGACATTTGGAATGTCAAAGAAGTGATCCCTCCAGTCCATGGGTACAAGGGAAGACCAAACCTGCTTACTATAAGGACAATCCCGCAGCACATGAAGACTTGTCTCCTGCTCTCCTGTACAAAAATCACAAGCACCAGTAGAATGGAGCCCATGCTTGAACCTCGATAAATTAGTAAGTAGCCTGTCGTGTGAGCAAAGCCACATGAAAATCTGGCACCGTTGTGGTGTATGCAACTTCCAAATATGCTTGCAGAGGCTCCTATCAAGAGTATTATGTTGTTCAGAGAGCTGTCTATATGCTGACTTGAGAGAAAACGTGCCCGAAGAGGACCAACGCCACACAGGTAAGTCATCACGATCAGATGGAATCACATGTATCTGCCGAATAGCTTGGAGAACATGCTGAGGGAGATACATACTGAACTTGTGCCATTCCCAGGATCCCGAAGCTATGACGCACTCTGCCACTTTCCAATTGACCATATCCGGTAGAAGAGGATTAAGAACATACTTCTCAAGGGCCTCAAAATGCGGAACCCAAACATCTTTCCAAAATAGAGTATTTTTTCCATTGCTCACTCTCCAAGCCATGCCATTAGTCACATCTTGCCAGCTAGTGCGTATACCTTTCCAAGCACGAGATTCAGACCTACGCTTTTCAATATTAGGGATCATGTCATCACCAGTCTTGTATTTTTCCTTCAAGAACTAAACCCATAAAGCGTCTCTGTGAGTAAACATACCCCATCCAAGTTTAGTCATGTAAGCTCTATTAACAAGGTTAGCTTGGCGTAACCCCAGGCCCCTTTCATCCTTTGTCCTGCAAACAATATCCCAGGAGACGAGGTGAATCTTCCGTGAAGTCGTATTAGATCCCCATAAAAAATTCCTGCATCGTCTGTCAATCTCCGCACAAGTAGTACTGGGCAAGGAGATCGTCTGCATAGCATAATTCGGTATAGCTGAAGCCATAGACGAAACCAACGTGTGTCTAGCAGTCAGAGAGAGGGTGTTTGCCTTCCAACTAGATAGGCGGGCATCCATTTTGTCAAGAATGAATTTATACGTAGACTTGGTCACCCTCTGATGAAGGATAGGCATACCAAGATATTTACCCAAGTCTGAAGAAGGAGCAAAATTCAGAAAGTCACTGATCTCCTTGCGTCTGTTGTGATTTACGTTCTTGGAGAAGAAAATCCTAGACTTGGTTGCATTAACTCGTTGCCCAGATACGTCACAAAAATCATCAAGGATGGCCTTGATCACACCTGCTTGTTCCATATCTGCTTTTGCAAAAAGAATAAGATCGTCAGCAAAAAATAAATGAGAAATGGGAGTACCGTTCTTGCTTAGTTTGAACGGTTGCCATTCACCCTCATTAACAGCGCTTTGGATAAGATGTCCCAATCTTTCAATAGTGAGAACAAAGAGGTACGGAGATATAGGATCCCCTTGACGTACACCACGAGAGGGGTTAAATTGAGTAGCTGCCGAACCATTCCAAAGAAGTTGCATATGAGAGGTAGAAACACAATGGAAAATGACCTGTTGCATGCTCTCTGGAAGTTTAAGTTCCCTCAAGCAATCAAAAATAAAAGCCCAACGAACTCTATCATAGGCTTTCTCAAGATCAATTTTGATAGCCATAAATCCCTGCTTTTTCCTCATTGCACGCATAGAGTGAACAATTTCTTGAACAAGGATGATGTTGTCAGTACTCTGTCGACCCTTTACAAAGCTGCATTGATTCGGTGCCACCACAATCGGCATGATGGGCTTGAGCCGGTTGGTAATGACCTTTGTAATAATTTTATAAACCACGTTACATAAGCTTATAGGTCGAAAATCACGAATTGTCTGAGGATGATCAAGTTTTGGAATTAGAACAATTTGAGTGCCATTTAACTGTCGAACCAACCCCGGGTCTTGGAAAACTCCCTTCACCAGCTTAGTCACTGATCCCCCTGCCGTATCCCATTGACTTTGGAAGAATAGAGGGTTTAAACCATCTGGGCCTGGAGCCTTAAGAGGATCCATATCAAAGAGAGCACGCTTAATCTCTACATCATCCACCTGTTTGGATAAAATAGTCATATGAATGTCATCAATAGCTGGATATGTGTAAGTAAACTTGAGAGAGTTTGAAGTCATTCCCGTTTCAGTATAAAGCTCTTCAAAGAACCTGCTTCCCATCGCCATAATTTCCCTAGGATCATAAGACCATTCCCCTGAGTCCAGCTTCAAGGCTTCAATCCAATTCCGTCTACGCCTACCATTTGCCTTTGCATGAAAATAACGTGAGTTTCGATCACCATTAATATACCATTGCACTCAAGAATATTGTCGCCACATCATTTCCTCTCTTGATAGAATTTTTTCAAGCTCATACCAAATATCTTTCTGAATACGATCGAGCCTATCAGATAGTCCCTCTGCCGTAATTCTTCGATTAACTTCGTCAAGTCGCCTGTAGAGTTTTTCTTTGTTGTGTTGAATATGCCCAAAAACTTCTCTATTCCATCGAGACAAAGACTTAGAGAACTCAGAAATAGAATGATTCCAGCCATTCTGAATCTCCCAATTATCCTTAACAAACCTCGAAAAATCCTCATGAAGAACCCAAGGTGCAAAAAAACGAAATGACCTTTTAGAGTGTGTAGACCGAGAAAACCTCTCAGTCCTGAGCAGCACTGGACAGTGGTCTGACTTAAATTTCGGTAAATGAAGGACTGAAGCATTAGGAAAATAATCATGCCACAGGTCATTAACAAGAATTCTGTCAATTCTACTCTGGCTAGGCCCATGCCCCCAAGTGAATCGAGGCCCACTAAAACCAATATCAATCATGTTGCTCTCAAGGATCCACTCATGAAAGAGTCTCTCTACTCATACATTATCCCGAGCGCACATGCCTTTACGATCTTCAGGTTGTGAAACTGCATTAAAATCGCCTGCTACCAACCATTTGCCATTAACACCGTTGTGTAAGGTTCTAAGGGAGCCCCAAAGATTCCTCCGAAGAATAGCATTTGGATGTCCGTAGACTATGGTAAGAAAGCACTCGTCATTCGTGCCACACTTAATCATGCCATGGACAAATTGATCGCCAGCTAAAAGAACGTTGAATGAGACACAATCATCCCAAAAAACCCATATACCACCACTAAAGCCCCTTGTTTCAACCACATGTATATTTTTCCATCTGAGCTTCTGGGCAACAAGCTTAGCCTTATCCCCGGTTTGTCTTGGTTCCAACAGAGCTAAAAAGTTGAGCTTATTTTTAACCTTTATGTCACAGAGAAGGCGACGAAAAGAGGCACCACCGGCACCTCGAGAATTCCAAACCATAATATTCATAATACCAATGAATATGTAAATAATAAACACGACAGGGAGGGTCCTATAAAGCATCAGTTCTTGAAGGTGTTTCACCACCCACAAACATATCGACATCCTTGACCTCTACAAGTGGGTTAGAATGGGTAATAAAGATTGACCCACCACTCGCGCCAGGATCCACTGGATTAGAAGCACTGCTCTTATGAAGCGGAATATGAATATTGTCCTGTGTAATAGGTACTGCAGGATTATTCGTAAGAGAGGCGACTTCGAAATGCTCTGAATTGGTAGCCATTAAACGTTGATCATGAAACTTTTCATCATTATTGACTGACGCATCCTGATATGTCAGACTCATAGTAGACTTTTTTGTAGAAACTTGGTGGTTCAACTTTTTTCTTACATTCAAGTAGGCTTCCATCGGACTAACCACAGTGTTTTTTTAGCCCACTTCACCTTTGGGTCCATGTCTGTTTTCCACATGCTTATTATTCATCATTGACTCACTATTACTCTTATGTGGCTTGTGAACCTTAGCTTGCTGCTTCTGACCGTTGCTAGAATCTCGCTCAGGATCAAGAATTGAATTACTAGCAGGTATTTCAATCGTATCATCTCCATCATTCCCATTCAAAGCCGTAAATCTCGAGCCTCCCTTATTTTCCTTCTGATCACTGCGGTTGTCACGCCGAGATTCACGCCCAGATTTCTCGCCCGTCAACTGTTGTCCCCGCTGCGGTCGTCGGCGCCGAGTTGCCACCATCCATTCTCCATACACCACCGACTGAACACTACTTGTCGTCGCCATGGCTGTTGTATCATTGTTATTCACTGCTAATTCCTTTGGGCACTCCACTATGACAGTGCGTTCCTGTAGGTGGCTAGGACAATGATCGGACTCATGCCCATATTTGCCACATGAGAAGCAGATGGAGTGTAGCCCCTCATAAACAATCTTTTTCTCTATCCCATTGATAAAAATAGATGGCAATAGTGGTGAGTTCAAGTCAAGCTCGACGCATATACGGGCAAAGCGGCCTTTTGTGTGTCGAAGAGTATTTCTATCAACTTTAAGCACTCGTCCAATCTGATTTCCTACAACATAGAGAATACCAAGATCATAATAATCGACAGGGAATTTTGGGATCCTTACCCAAGCTGCAATCCTAGTAACCTCCATAGCATCTGGATCAAAATCAGGCTTCCAAGGTTGAATGGCGAGATAATGATCGAAGATCATCCAGGGTCCTTCTGTGAGAGCGAAGTCATAGTCCTCCTTATTGCTTAGACGAACCAAGAAGAATCCAGAACCAATTTCTAGTGTTTCAACCTCCCCACGGTGTCCCCATAACTATTGGAGCTTATTGCCTAGATACTCTTCTCGAACCATTCGTCCTAGCAATCGGACAAATAACGATGTTTCCCACTTCATAGCTAGTTTCCTCTGGAATTCCGGTAAAACAATAATGTTCGGACCTTTCTCTGTTTGCTCAACTCTTAATCTGCTTCTCCATCCATCTCCGCTCCACCAGCTTCATCTTCCTGCTCCTTGGCCAAAGTGTTGTCTACGCAAGCTTCCTTGTATGATTTCTTCGGCGGAGCAATGTCTTCCAGCGGCATCACGTCCTCATCAGACATCCAATCTTCAACCCTTGGAGGAGCTGAGCGATCGTTTGCGACCACCGTCTCCCCAGTTCGAACCTTCTTTCTGCTACGTATCAACGCGTCGGCCTCCTCAGTCGAGACAGCGTCAGAGAGAGAGTTCTCGTTGCTCATCGAAACCTCACAACTCCCCTTTTCTTTCTATCTTGCTTTTTTCAGTTCGTATCCACTCACTCCTTTGTTAACGACACATTCATAATTTAATTATATATTGTTTATTACAAAATTTAAATATATAAAATGTAACATATAACTAATTATACAAATTAACAAAAATTCTTCAACATAATTTATTTAATGGTTTTTAAAATTATAATATGAAAAACCATAAATTTTTTTTTCTGGCATGGTAAACATTTCTAGCGGTTCCAAACCGCTAGAAATATTTCGTCAAATTTAAATTTTGCGCCAAAATTTCTAGCGGTTCAAACCGCTAGAAACCTTTTTTGCCGCCATTCCAAAAATTTAATTGGCGGGAAAATTTAATTTTCCGAACATTTCTAGCGGTTCTATAACCGCTAGAAATTTCGGCGCGCTACTGAAATTATTTAATTCCCGGCAAAATAGATTTGGTTTAGTATGTTTCTAGCGGTTATAAAACCGCTATAAATTTTATTCCGTGGAACATTTTCTAGCGGTTTTATAACCGCTAGAAATTTTTTTCCTGTAGACATTTTCTAGCGGTTAAAAACCGCTAAAAAGTTTCTAGCGTTTTGACCATGATGTGTACCGGTTGCCATAACCGCTAGAAATTTTTTCTTGCTCCTGGTTTTCTAGCGGTTTTGTTAACCGCTAGAAATGTTATTTGTTGCGGTTGAAACCGCTAGAAATGTGTCACTCTAACCGCTACAATTGACATATTTTTTTGTAGTGGATGTTCAATGTTTTGAGATGAATTGATCATCATCTCTTGTTAAAAGAGAGAGCTTTAATGCTGCAATTGGGAAGGCAGCTTTGGCACATAAAGGTGTGGGCTTGATAGAGCAAGTTGGAAGACAACCACCCCTTCTAGCCACTTTCATGGTGGGATTCTCTGCATAGAAATTGAGTCACTGCAGTCTGGAGGCGCTAAGCTTAAAGCAGAATTTCTTTTGCTTAATTGTTTTGGTTTTCCTGTATCCTCTTGGTTATGTTCCAGCAAATGGCCTATGGTTTTTTAGTTCTTTTTGTTGTGGCTGAATTTTCGAATGCTTTGGTTTAATCAATAATATGAATTTCTTCTGACCCAAAAAAAAAAATCTTATCATGAGATTATCTTCCTTTTAAATGTTAGAATCCAAATCTAGGGTCACTTTGGCCTTTAATTTGCAACTAATCCATGAATGAGATGGTGATGCAAATTATTAGTATTATTAAAAAAGAGAGAGGCCGAAATAACAGAGGAAAAAATTATAATATTTAATTTAAAGTCACAAAGAGAAACAAAGAGGCGGTTGTCTCACACGTATGTTGCACCAACCAATGGTGTATAAGACATCCCTTTACTTATATGCCACCGCATTATCTGAATTTCTTTATTTTCTTAATTTTTTTTTGCATAATATTACAACTTCGTTTAGTTATGCAATATTTAAAATAATGATGATAATATTGATGTAATAGTATTATTCCTTGTTTCAAACAAAGGGAAAATATTCTCAAGGACTCATAATTTATATTAATGATAAATAACTCAATATCAAAACTTATCACGTAAATAAGTTATACCCATAATGATATCAATTATGCATTTCAAAATAAGCTTTTGATTTGTATACGTATAAAGTAAAAAAAAAAAATTATGTAATTAATCTGGAAAAACGAATAGGGAACATTGGAGAATAATTCCCATTAAAAATTTTATTGACGAGAATGACATAGGGGGTGCTTGGAAACCCCAGAAACACTTCACACGAATCAAAATAAAACTCCTCTTTCATGTTATTTTCGGTTCTAATTATAAGAGTTAGTTGATTAATTTGAGAAGATTAAAGAAATAAATTAAGTTAGTTATTTGTAATAAGAGATGTTATTTTTCCTAAAATGCCCTTGTCAATCAAGTGTATTAGTTAAAATTATTAGAAAAACTATTTTAGAAAAAATATATAAATATGAAAGACAAAGTAGATTGGGATCTTATAATTAAAAGTAAAATAAAAGTCAATAAGTCTTATATTAAAGATCGGAGGTAGTATTTATTTTTGAATTTCATAAAATCACTTTTAAAGAGTTAATCCAAACACCTCTAAATCAAAGTAATAGTATATGTGGATAAAGTTGCAGAGTGGTGGTACATTTTATTATGGATAAAAAATTTTATCATGTTCTTATAACTAATGAAATTTTTATTTTTTTTAACGAGCAACTTTTTTTTAAAAAAAAAAGAATTTCCAATCAGATACTTGACAAGTGTCAAATAATGATCGTGTGTGTATTTTAATATAGGAAAATGAGAGTTAGAGGTGGGGCTAGAACTAAAAGTGGTGGCACATGGAATGAGACAAGGGAAAGGGATAAATCCACGTCAGCATCACTGGCCAAAGTGATTGAGCTAGATCTAAAAATGATGCTTTTGAGGCTTTCAAAAAAGAAAAAAAATCTGTCATTGTTTGTGGCACGTAATAACGGTCAAAAAGCTGTGGGAGTCTTTTTATCAACATCTTTGTTTGGATAGCTACAGTAGTTGTTTAAGAGGCTTTTATGTTTTGTCCTGTGAGCTTTCTTACAAGCTAAGCTAATATTTGGGGTGTCCCATATTTTGTATATGCATGTCTTTATGCATTACTTCTCATCCAAAATATAAATAAATTTTTTTTAGTTTTAAATATAAAATATTAATTCATTTTATTTCTCAAATTTATAATTTCCTTTTTAGAGTATCTTATTAATTGCATATTGTATGTAAGTTTTTATCAAAAAATAGTTACAATGCATATTATTAGAAAGTGTGTTCTAAAAAAACGAAAAAAATATATGTTACACATAACTAAATTAATTATCTAATTTTTATGTCAAAATCTAAAGCCAGTATTCCTCCCATCCCTGCAACTTTATCATTATTGTCTTTTTCCTTCCTTTTTCTAGTTAGGTTAGGACTTTATGTATTAACCCTCTTTTCATTAATATAATTGAATTTTTATTTGAAAAAAAGAAAAAGAAAAAAATAGTATGACTAATGAATTTTTAATGACATGGTTTATGTATGGTTTTGTTAAATTATGTGTGGTTTTTCTTGATACAAAAATATGTGTGATTTTACATGTGAATGTTTAGTTTACTTAAAATTTAATAAGTTTTTATTTAAATATTATTCTTTTTAAAATTGTAAATGGATATTTTTATAGATTTTAATTATATTACATTAACTACGATAAAACGAAAGAAGGATCCCAGCAATGAAAATATTCATAGAAAGTAGCAATGATATTGTTGCATTGGTTGCAAAGATCCTCTGCCTTTTGTGATGGGCAATGAAACCTTAGTAGGTGAGTAAGGTGAGTATGTTAGATATTTCCCCTTATAAGACGATTCATAAGAGATGAACAATTTTTCATCTGAAAAAACGGTATAAATAATGAAATTTTTTGTTCCATAATATTATTGATCTTATAACATTTTAATAAAACTTTCCTTTCATTTTTATAAATACTCAGAAGTAATAAAAAAAAAAACTCATGATATCTTTCACTTACAATCCAATTGAAGAGTTTTTTTAATTTAATTTTTTTATTCATAGAGTTTAAATTTTTAATATTATTTAAAAAAAGGTTAAACTCAACCTAATTGTCTTTTATCCTGATTTCCATATATGAAATTTAATATTAATTATTTTTATGGCTAAACTACTCCATTTATACATCACCAACTCTCTGGAAAATTGCATTGAGTCAAACAAGTCCATATCGAGTGATTGATATATAGATAAAATTTATAATTTTTCAAATTCCATTATGCTTATCCATTTCTAGATATATATGCAAAATTCTTGGCGCCGTAGGATGGATATAAGCTTAGTTGTGGCATTTAATACCAAGGAACAAAAAACCGGACCGGTAATAACCGGTCAAGATACTGGGTTAAGGGTTAATGGGTTAGATCGGGATCAACCCGTAATCAAACCGGTAATAATTAAAATGCTATGTTTTAAATTATATATTAACTATTTTAAATAGAAATTAAAAAAAGATATGAAGAAAAATATATAAAATAAAGATATATTTAAGAAATTATATATAGATAGTAAATAATATGGTAGAAGTACTCATTAGTCAAATCCATCTATTCCTGTACGATGGTTTTGCGTGGGAAACTTGGACCGCGTGGAAATCTAATTTTTTATTCAACTTTCAATTTTAAGTTTTCACATTTCTCAAGATCTGCTTCTCCGGTTGAACCACTTCACATTTTTTATCATTTCCTTTCATCATTCAGTCTTTTCACACCTTGTACGTGATGGATCAGGCATTCACGTGCTCTTATAGCTTTCTCTCTTACTCCTTCTTCTCTCCATTTTAGTATTTCTTTCTTCTTCGTTCTTCGTTCTTCGTTCAGACGTTCCCCTCTTCTTTATTTCGTTTTCATACCTTCATCCTTCCTTACCTCCGTTCAGATGTAGTCGCAGAACCAGAAGGGTGAGAATAAATTTTATTTTTATTTACAGAACGAACATGCAGAACCAGAGGAACTGAAGAAAACAGTCATTTTTTATTTTTTGTTTTTCTTCTTCTTCGGTCAATTTTTTTTTGTTTGTGTGTGGGAAACAGTCTCAGATTCTTCTTCTTCTTCTTTCAAACAACCCGGCTAAACCATCAAAACCAGCGGGTTGGCCGGTTGTGGCCGGTTTGCACCGGTTCGATTTTCTTCCGGTTTTGTTGTTAAACCAGACCGGACAACTGACCGGTTCACCGGTTTCCAGTTTGAACCGGCCGGTCCGGTCCGGTTTTTTGTTCATTGTTTAATACTAATCATCTCAGTAAATCATTAGACTCTACTATCTTTCTCCCAAATTTTACGATAGGTTGAGGTGTGTCCCATATTTTAAAATGTTTTTTTAAAATATACTATCTAATATCTTATCTTAAAGTATTTTTTTAATATAATCTTACACTTAGCAAATTAGGATGGTGGATTATAGGTAGAAATAATCAGGGGTACTTGATATATCTAAATAACACTTTATGGTACTAAATGCACCAAAATATAATTCAGTTTGTTGAATATGTCTGAAAAAAATATTTCAAAATATTATACTAGCTTTAGTCTTTAATATAAAAATTTGTTTAACTTTTAATTTGGTTTTAAATATAAAACTTTAATCTATTTTGTTTTTCATATTTATTTATTTTTTCTCAAAGTATTCATGTACAAATGGTAGTCTTAACTAATACACATAATTAGCAAATGTATTTTAAGGAGACAATATCTATTTGTTTACAAATAATTAACTTAACTAATTTTTTTAATCTACTCAAATTAATTAACTAACTCGTAGTGCCCATTTGATTCACAGAATAAATGGAAATGTAATGGGATGTAATGACTAGAAATTTAGTGTAATGTAATGATGATGACAAAAAAATTCATTATTTATATTTAATTAAAAAGAAACAAAATTGAAAAGACAAAAATAGCCTTAAATAAAATCATCTACCTGTGGAAGAATTGCGCATCTTCATCCCAGTATCCCACGCTAGCAAAGAAAACACAGTCATGTGTGCCTTTCTTGTTCGTTCTTCAATTTCCCTTCACGCATTCATAGAACCGCAGTACGCAGTCTGTCAGGTTCCTTTTATTCTTCTCCTCCTTCGCCAAGTCTGCTACTTTAGCTTAAGCAAATAATGGAGTTTCTATGCCAATCTTGGGTCATATTTCCTAATCAGTTTTTTCATTTGAGTTTTCAGTTATTTGCACTTTCAATTTCTGGAACGTTGGTAAAAAATAAAGCCAAATTGATTTTTATAAACAGAGAAAGATGTTTGCCTCTTAATATGTAGCTTCCTGTTGCTGTTTTGATTGCTAGAAGTTTTGTCAATGATAGATTTTATGGTTCTTCTTCTTCTTATTTTTTATAGCTTCAAATAGATTTTATGGTTCTTATAAGTTCATGATTTTATGGTTATCAACTTATAAATCAAGTGATTATCAACATATACTTTACCAAAATGGGGAATTGAAGAACGATAAGGTGCCTAGTTCATCAATGGGAGAAGGAGAAGGAGGAAGGGTAGGTCGTCATATGGAAAGGTCATCAGTGGGTTGCTGGTGTATGGAAAGGTCATCAATGGGGAAGGAGAAGGAAGGGTTGCTGGAGTATGGAAAGGTCGTCAGTGGAGAGGAGGAGGAGGAAAGGTTGTCGATGAAGGAGCGTTGGCAACAAGTGGGGTAGAGGAAGATAATAGAGAAGGCAGGGGCTAATAATGTCTTTTTATTGATTCCCACATGTTGTAATCCTTATTCTTCACTTTTAGTAGTATAATCTCTCTTACCTTATATGATGTAATCCCAATGCATCAGGATTACCTAACTAGACCAACCAAACACTTGAAAGAAGGCATTGTATATGGATTACAAGGAATCCAAATATAATGCATCAAACCAAAGGGGCAATTATATTATTTTTGGTCCTACTTATGAGATTTTGTTTGTAGCCTACAAACAAAATTTTATAAATAAGACAGAAAATAGTATTAAAGGCCGAAATAGTATATATCACAAAATATTTTAAAATAAGGAATTTATCCCCCAAAAAAAATATTTTAGAGGTGATTGGCATTTGTTGCCAACTACCAAGGCACTCTGTCAATACAGGAAAACTGTTCGCCTGATCTGCCTTGTACTTTCTGCCGGGTTATCCAAACACACGTGCGAATCAACATCCGTTTTTATATCTCTAGGAAAAAAAATTCCAAGACTCAGAAAGTTTCATTTAATATCCCAAACAAAAACTTAACCAAAAAAATATCCTTAACAAAAAGGACATTTTAATTATAAAAATTATTTTTTTCCTATGATTTTTTGTTGTCAATATGCATAAATATTTATTATTGATAAACATATGTGTCTATATATATGTTGATGAAATTCCTCTTCATGACCAAAAAAAGAAGTGATTTATTATATATTTCATATTCTCTATTGATAGTAATATGTATTGCTTCGGTTATTAATATAAGATCTATTTAACTAATTTGATTAAATTAAAAAAATTAGGTAAGTTAGTTAATTATAAAAAATATGAGATGTTTTTTCTAAAACACCATAATCATCTTTCTTAATATCTTTCCCACTCACTTACTTGATTATGGTTGAGAAAATATCCATAGGGATAATTTAAGAAAAATTGATAAATATAAGAAATAAGTATTATATTTAGGACCAAAATTAACTTATTAGGTATATTTAAGGGAAGAGTATATTTCATAAAATATGTTTTCCAAAAAAAATAGAATGAAAAAATATTCAACTATTGAAGTTTGACCAGAAATAAAAGGAAGCCGGCTGTCTGTAGCCATTTCTTAATCCATATTTGGACCACACCAATACTTATAATTAATAATTAATAATAATAAATAAACGATATTAATAAAATGTTTTTAATTCTGCCTTTTTTGAATACTCAAACCACCTAAGCAATGCTGAAATTTAAACATGAATGTTTAATTTTTTTTTTAAAAAAACCTTCAATAAGTTCAATGCTTTTATGAGGGCTGCATAAAAGAATAGGCGGCCTAATAAAAACCCCGCAACCCAAACGACCCAATTCCATCTTATAAAAATAATCTTTTATTTTATTTATAAAACACTTTTAACATGTTTTATACTAATTAAAAAAAGTCTTAAAACTATATCAATCTCTATTAAAATATAACAACTATTTAATATATACACATTTTAACAAAATAGAATTATGAATCTTTTTAAACTCAATATAAAATTAACACATTTGATCTATATATCTAAATTTGGATTTTAATTTTATGCGCATACTAGGTTGAATTTTACCTGGAAAATCAATAATATTTTTTTAACAAAGGAAAAATCAATAATAAAAATGGCGGTTATTAAGGAAGAAAAGGTTGGCGAGGCTGCTTCCCGGTTTATTGACTGAACTGTATATCTACGTTTGAACTTCGAAGATATTCCGTCTTTCTAATCAACCTCATGATTACTTGGAAAGAGGGGCAAGGAAGAGCAGAAATGAAAAAACCATCCGCAAAAGTCAAATCCGTATTCCCATTTAAGATTCAGATTTCAAAATATTATAATCATCCAACCATTCAAATCCTCTCGCAGCCTCGTCTCCTTCTAGAAACATCCCCTCCAGATTTGTTCATCATTCACCATGCATGGTGGTGACCTGTGACACCCTCATCTCTCTCTTTCCCAACAACGCCACAAAGACTTTTCTTGCACCCAAATTCTTATTTATTAAACTGAAATCCCAATTCTTTAGTTCTCTATTTCTAGTCCTTGTCGCCAGCCATTACGACTTCTTCCTCATTTCTTGTATTTGCCGTCCTCCTCCTCGTCTTCACGCTCTCCTCCTTCTCATTCTTCTATAATGACTTTGACCTTCCTCGAATTTTCTTCTCCTCCCTTTGCAATTACCAGTCCTAAACTTTTTTCCCTATTATTGACCAGTTCTTATTCCTCTTGTATCTTCCACGCGCAGGATAGAGCCTATTTTGCATACCAATTTCCTCTGCACGTTCTGTAGTTTTGGGGATTTGAGGTTCTGGGTTGTTTGTTTTCCGAGTTCTGTGAGCTGCTGCTGCTGCTGCTTTTTTTTTTTGGAGAAGAACTTGAGCTGATTGTATATTTGTTAGGAAGTTGTTCAATCTCCGCTTCTTAGTGACCTGTGGTTTTCGAATTATGGGTTCTAAGCTGGTAGTTCTGATTTCATCTTCGAAAACTTCTTAAGTTCAAAGAGCTTCACTTTGTACCCGCTTTCTCCGGTTTAGCTGAAACAAAGTTAAATCCTGGCATGGACTCGAACAATCAAGCTAGAGACTCCTCACATTTCGACCCAGCTTTGAAATCATCGTCTCGAAAAAGCATCACCTCGAGTCACTCTAGGGGATCCGACAGGATTTCGGTTCGGGAAGTGGCTTTCAATCATTCAGGATCTACCCCAGTTCGGTATGGGTCAAAAGGCGCTGATTCGGAGGTATTCAGCGTGTCGCAGAAGGAAATCAGCGACGAGGATGCGAGATTGATTTATATACACGATCCTGTGAGGACAAACGAGAGGTTTGAATTCGCAGGAAATTCTATTCGTACGGCGAAATACTCTATCCTCACCTTTCTGCCCAGGAATTTGTTCGAACAATTTCATAGAGTTGCTTATATTTATTTCCTTGTAATAGCCATTCTTAATCAGCTTCCTCAGCTTGCCGTTTTTGGTAGGGGAGTTTCCGTTTTACCTTTAGCGTTTGTCCTGCTCGTTACAGCCGTGAAGGATGCGTTTGAGGATTGGAGGAGACATCGATCAGATAAAGTCGAGAACAGCAGATTAGCATCAGTTTTAGTTGGTGATCAATTTGAACAGAAGAAATGGAAGGATATTAGAGTTGGTGAAATTGTTAAAATTCATGCAAATGAAACCATCCCTTGTGATATTGTGTTGCTGTCAACCAGTGATCCAACTGGGGTTGCATATGTGCAGACTATAAATTTAGATGGAGAATCAAATTTGAAGACTCGATATGCAAAGCAAGAGACCCTTGCAAAGCTGCCTGAAACAGAAAGAACCAATGGTTTGATTAAGTGTGAAAAACCCAACAGGAACATATATGGGTTTCAGGCTAATATGGAAGTTGATCAAAAGCGTTTGTCACTTGGATCCTCCAATATTGTTCTTCGAGGCTGTGAGCTCAAGAATACTAAATGGGCACTTGGTGTTGCTGTATATTGTGGCAGTGAGACCAAAGCTATGCTCAACAGCTCCGGAGCTCCATCTAAGCGGAGCCGACTGGAGACTCGGATGAACTACGAGATAATCATTCTCTCTTTCTTTCTTGTAGCTTTGTGTACAGTTACCTCTGTTTGTGCTGCTGTTTGGTTAAAACGCCACAAGGATGAGTTAGATCTTTTGCCTTATTATAGGAAGCTGAACTTTCAAGACGGCAAGAGCTATAAGTATTATGGATGGGGATTGGAAATTGTTTTCACATTCCTCATGTCTGTTATAGTGTTCCAGGTCATGATTCCCATATCGTTGTACATTTCCATGGAGCTTGTCCGCGTTGGCCAGGCCTATTTTATGATCGGAGACAATAGAATGTATGATGAGGCATCAAATTCCAGATTTCAGTGCAGGGCTTTAAATATCAATGAAGATTTAGGGCAAATCAAGTATGTTTTCTCAGACAAAACTGGCACGCTTACTGAGAACAAGATGGAGTTTCAATGTGCGAGCATCTGGGGTGTTGATTACAGTATAGCAAATGAAAGTCAGGAGGATGAGCAAGTTGAATACTCTGTTGAAGGTACAATTTCTTCTCCACATTAAGTTGTTCGTTTTAATAGTTTTTTTTTTCCCTTTTTAAAAGCAAATCCTTTGATGTATCTGATCTTATTTGTAAATTAATCGACGTACTGTTTTTTGTTTGTTATTAGTGGATGGAGCAGTGTTGAGGCCCAAGATGAAGGTGAAAGTAAGTCCAAAACTTTTGCAGTTATCAAGAAGTAGGCTTGAAAACGAGGGAGGAAAACGAATTCATGACTTCTTCCTAGCATTGGCAGCCTGCAATACCATTGTTCCTCTTCATGTTGACACATCTGATCCTAAAGTCAAGTTGATAGATTATCAAGGGGAGTCACCAGATGAACAAGCGCTGGCATATGCGGCAGCCGCCTATGGTTATACACTTATAGAACGGACCTCAGGCCACATAATTATTGATATGCAGGGAGAGAGACAAAGGTAAGTTGAATTGTTTTTTGCGTATTCCTTTCTTCTTCATCAGTCTACTCTAACTAACGAAATTTGTATTTTTCAAATGATAACCATAATAGGTTACTTGAAAATGGTGTATTATTCATGTTTCATAAGCAGAGAGGAAATGCTTCCTGTAATTTTTCATAGATGTTTACTTCATAGTTGATACCATGAGTCTATGAGAAATTCTCATGTGCTTGTCTATATAATTACCTGTGGCAATTGTTATCTTCTGCGCAAGTCATTTGAATCGATTCTCTCCTTTCGCTTGAATTCTTGTGATGTAATGCTCATAAAGTTTTCATGGTTGTTTACTTTCTAATGAAGTTTTCCCTTACGGTTAGTGCAGGTTTAATGTATTGGGCTTGCATGAATTTGATAGTGATCGGAAGAGAATGTCAGTCATATTGGGGTATCCTGACAATTCCGTGAAACTTTTTGTCAAGGGTGCTGATACATCCATGTTAAGTGTAATGGACAAGTCATCAAACATGGACATAATACATGCAACTGAAAGGCATCTCCACTCTTACTCTTCTCTGGGGTTGAGGACTCTTGTCATTGGAATGAGGGAACTGAATACTTCAGAATTTGAGCAATGGCACCAATCCTTTGAGACGGCAAGCACTGCTTTGATGGGTCGGGCTGCTTTACTTCGTAAGGTTGCTAGCAATATCGAAAACAATCTCTGCATATTGGGTGCATCTGCTATTGAAGATAAATTGCAGAAAGGGGTGCCAGAATCCATTGAGTCTCTGAGGACTGCAGGTATTCAGGTTTGGGTGTTGACCGGGGACAAACAGGAAACTGCCATATCAATTGGCTACTCCTCAAAGCTCCTTACAAGTGACATGACTCAGATTATAATTAATAGCAACAATAGAGAGTCCTGTAGAAGGAGTTTACAAGATGCCCTTGTCATGTCCCAAAAACTCATGGCTGCTACTGGCGTTGCCAATGGTACTGAGACTTCCTACACTCCTAAAATTCCAATAGCCTTGATCATTGACGGTACCAGCCTCGTATATGTTCTTGATAGTGAACTTGAAGAACAGGTTAGTGTTGTTAAATCTCAGATTATGTTTACAACATACTTGCTGATGACGTTTGTCCTAATTTACCTACTGCTATTGATTTCAGCTCTTTCAACTAGCAAGCAAATGTTCAGTGGTTCTCTGTTGTCGAGTGGCTCCATTGCAAAAGGCTGGGATTGTTGCCCTTGTGAAAAACAGGACGTCTGACATGACACTAGCCATCGGAGATGGTATGAATTCTTACCATGACCTCTTTCAGGGTGTCAATCCCTTTCAACAGAGAAGAGCCTGGGATTCTGAAATTGTATATTCATTGTGTGCTTATGTGTGTTACAGGTGCTAATGATGTCTCAATGATCCAAATGGCTGACGTTGGAGTTGGCATCAGTGGACAGGAAGGTCGGCAAGCTGTAATGGCATCTGATTTTGCAATGGGGCAGTTTAGGTTTTTAGTTCCCCTCTTGTTGGTGCATGGACACTGGAATTACCAACGTTTGGGTTATATGATACTATACAATTTTTACAGAAACGCTGTCCTTGTTCTCGTCTTATTTTGGTGAGTAAACAGCTTGGAAGACGTGTGTGTGGGTGTATTGCAATACAAATTCAAATCGAATACATCACAAGCATTTTAGAACAATTGGGGTGCATGACTGCAGATTCTCACATGATACTTTTTTGATGGTGTTTTTCAGGTATGTGCTCTTCACCGCCTTCACTTTGACGACGGCGATAAATGAATGGAGCAGCATGTTGTACTCAATCATTTACACTTCATTGCCAACAATTGTTGTCGGTATTCTTGACAAAGACCTTAGTAAAAGGACTCTTATAAACTATCCTCAGCTTTATGGGGCTGGACAGAGACATGAGGCATACAACAAAAAATTATTTTGGCTTACAATGATTGATACATTGTGGCAAAGCATTGTTATCTTCTTTGGTGCTCTCTTTGCATACTGGGGAAGCACTATTGATGTAGCAAGCATTGGAGATCTTTGGACTCTTGCAGTGGTTATTGTAGTGAATATACACTTGGCCATGGATGTTATCAGGTGGAATTGGATTACACACGTTTCCATTTGGGGGTCTATAGTTGCAACTTTCATTGCCGTCATGGTCATCGATGCTATCCCCACATTTCCCGGTTACTGGTATGCATTCTGTCTCAGATCCTTTCTTAGTCCTCCAAATATTTTATTCTCCTTCTGGTTCTTCACTTTTGGAAGTTCATCCAATTAAGGGAACCACATTATCTTTTCAAATGGATCAAGTTAGTTGTTTGCTAATGAAAGGACTGGATTAGATGGTTTTTGAAATACAAGTAACCAAAATGGGAATGACTTAATGATAAGGGCCAATTTGAAAGCTGGTCCATCAATAGGAGATCAAAACGAGACTCTAGATTTTTCGGCTAAATTTAACAGGCATGCATGGCAAAGTTAGAGTTGCATGTATCATAGTTGTTATGTCCTGTTTAGCTATGGGCTCCAATCGCTCTAGCTCCAAGATCCATGTCCTGCTACAAGTCTAGGACTGAATCTGGTCTGATCACCCTTTAATGCTAGCTGATAGGCCTTTGCAACGCCTATCACTTTCTTACCTCTGTAACGACTGCAGGCATAGGGTGTTATTCAAACGCTCTTCACACTCTTTCATCCCAAAAAACAAGGCTTTACTTGTCGAAAAAGAATATACAAATATTTAGTTATTTCACTATCAGATTCCAAAGGGGAACCTAATAATTTCTTGTTTGTAGTCTGAAACATGCAGATAGTAATTCATTCCCTTTACACAGCAGACTTTTTAATCCTTTATTCTTTCCTTGTCCATTGAATTTCAGTTCTTTTAATATGAACTGGTTAGAGATCGGTTGAGTAAATAGTTGCATCTCAGATGTGTGAGCTTTTGCGTAATTTAAGACAGAGCATGAAAAAAAATTCATCTTATCAGGCTGAGTCGTCTCTGCAATCCCACATCACCTTTCCAGTATGTAAATACTGATTTTTTTCCCCATCTCTATTCACTTTTTCAGGGCCATCTTTCATTCGTTAGGCACTGGATCCTTCTGGCTATGTCTGCTTGGAATCATCATCACAGCATTGCTCCCTCGTTTCATGGTGAAGTATATTCATCAATATTACTTCCCTGATGATATCCAGATTTCAAGAGAAGCTGAGAAGGTTGGGGCTTCAAGGATGGTTGGTGGTGAAGATATAGAAATGCATCCTATTCCAGTTGGTCCACCAAGATGATGATGCATTGATTTGGATCTTCTGAACATAGAAAGCTCGTTAAGAACTTATGATGCTTTAGAGAGATAAAGAGAAAAGAGAAGAAGGAAATCAGATTAGTATTTACCTTTTGTGTTTCTCTCTCTCTCTCTCTCACGCATTAGAAATATTTTTGCTTCAGAAGATCTAAACTCCATAGTACATAGGTCCATCCATAAAAAGAGATTTTCTTTTGTGCCTTATAGTCCCTCTCCTCTCCTTTTGTTTTGTTTTGTTTTGTTTTTTTTCCCTTTTTTTGTAAAGTTACACATTCTTGAGGCTGCTTTAGAGTTTTTTCTGTCAGTTGCCAGATTTCTTCATCTGATACTGTCCGAAGGATAGTGTTTTTGATTTTCACAGTAGGAGTTGCTTTGTATCCTTATTCTTTCTGTATCCATAAATGTAGCCTCTGTTGTAAATTATCACTGATGATTGTAACAGAAAAAGAAGCAGAATGTTCATTACTCTTTACAGATATACAATTATACAATTTTAAGAGGAAAAATGTATTAAATTGTACTTCATGATCATGGTTAATTTCTTACCAAAGCCTGCTGAATTCACTATTTACCAGCAGGTTTGAACAAGCTCGGGCTTTCTGGGAGCAAAAACCTACCAGAAAAAAAGGAGGGGGGGGGGGGGATTTGAAAGGTGACATGGTTTTCCTGAGTGGTGGGGTAATTGAACACCTTAAAATTGGGAGACATTAAAGATGCCTTGGGATTGTTCAAACTTACTTAATAAGAAGTGCAAATGCAACAAGATTAGCAGAGTGTTATGGAGGTCCTAGAAGTACTTTAAAAGAATGTTTTCAAGTAAGTTGAGATAAAAATTTTTTTACATATTTATTTAAAATTTTGTAAAATCACTTCTAAAATTATAGTTTGATTTTCATCCAAACACCTTGAGGATTCATGAAGAAGCTAATATCTCATTGTGCTTACATAGAAATTATGGAGGATCTCAAATTATAATGGGAATGAAGATGCTAATAAGCCTGCATTAACAGATTGACTCTATAAAAGCTTTAAGTTTGATAGCAAAAGAATACTCAAGTATTGACCTTTTGGCCTATTGAGATTCAGTAAGGATAAGACAAAATCACTATGTGGTTTCAATAATAAAATGTACTAATCGGGAAAAAAAAAATCTTATTCATGATGCTTACTTATCATTAGAATTTTTTGGTCTTTTTCACACGACTCATAATTTAAGCCAGTATTAGATATTTGTTTCACAATAATGGTAGTGATACTAGAATTTAGTGTGGTTAATGAGCGTAATATTAGAAAATCACTTAAATTCTATGACAAATTTAATATTTGTAATTGTTTTCATCGGTATATGTGAATTAGTTAGTGGGTTCCTATGATAAGGGTCAAAGTAGGTATTCTTTTTGAAGATTTTCCCAAAAGATAATAACTCTGTGAAATTGATTTGTTCATCATGTTCACGAGGGACAACTATGTACACTTGATGAATTCCCTCTCATGGATTGGAGTGGGGTGATATATACATAACAAGTTGAGTGCTCTTTACACCTAACCCTCTGTCCTTGCGTTGCTTAACAACGAAGCCTTTTGTTTAAAAGAAAAGAGAACACAAAAATTCTCAAGAATTTTTATTTTAAACAATTTATCAAACTAAAATGGGTAGTACAAATTTGAGTATTTGCAAATTATGTCATATACCTAACACATTCATAAATAATAATGTGAATCTTATTCTCTCTTTTTTTCCCCCTCAAATCAAAAAATTCTTCTTCTTTTTTGTGTGTCGGTAAACAATATAAGCCTAAAACAAGTTCCATTTATTTCTTGAACTAAGGATAGAGATTGACTTTGCTTTTTCAAATTTTTAAGTAAACATGCAAGGATAAAAAAATCAATTATACACTAAGATTCAAATCCTTTTTGACAAAATTTTAAAAACTATAACAATGCTCAATTATTAAAGATGTTATCAAGGATTCATCTTTAGTTTTTCAAAAAAATAATATTAAAGTATACATTTAGTCTTTTATTTTTACAAATTTTTGTTTTGGTTTCTTAAGTTTTAAAAGTATATTTTTAATTATTTAATCTTAAAATTGTTGGTTTTAAAAATAATTTTTTATAATAATCATAGTTGCTTTAAAAATTAAATTTAATATATTAATATTTAAGAATATTTTATTAAAATTTAAAATCTCAATATTATTATATTTTGTTAATATTTTTAAGATTAAAAAAATTAAAAAAAATTAAAATTAAAGAATCAAATAAAATCTCGTATAAAAATAAATAATTTAATAATAATTTGTTGTTTTCTTTTAAAAAAATCATGTAAATGATTGGTGATTGGACAAGGAGAGGGGAGGGGTTGAGGTATGCACATGATGAAAGCATAATTATGCAAAGGATGCCACGTGGCGAATGCTGAGGCATAAGACAAAGGACACAGTGATGTGATGACATTGCAATCCAAAAATTACAAAACAACAAACAGAAAAGGAGGAGGACATCAACTCCCATAATGTCACTTCCTCCTTTTTGCAAAACACCTGAAAATGACTTTTCCTGTTGTACTTCTTTCTAATATTTTCACGCCTTTTAAGAAAACATATTACTTAAAATTTAAGCAAACTCATAATAAAATGTAAATTGAAAAAATTGCAAAAAGAAAAAAAAGTAAAAATTAAAAAATTGTATACAAGATTGTTTAAAAAATTATTATTATTTACTTATCAATTGATGTCAAACGTAACACTGATATTATAATGGGTTCTTATTTATAATTTTTCTATTTTAAAAATTTTTTTACGATTTTTTCATGTAAATTTGTAAACTCACAGGAATTTATTTTGACTAATAAATTGATATTAAAGATGTATAATTAAATAATTAAAATATAATAATATAATAATTTTATTCAAATATATTTTAAATACAAGTAACTAAAATTAAATTTATTAACATTTACAATTTATCATATTTCATATATAAAGTCATTAAATATAACTAAATTAAACAATTTAGCATGAATTCAACAGGGAATTGACATGATTTTATAAGCTAAAAACATAATACCGATAAATTTGGTTAATAAACTCATAAGTTCAACCAAGTTTATAATTATAACAAGTTTAAGGGCGGGTTGATACAACTTTGTAAACTTAAAACATAAAAATGTTAAACTTAAAGAATAAAATTGCAAGTTTAACAATAATAATCATGTTCTATTAAAAAAAACAATAATAATCATCTTATTAAATACAGGGAAAATCTCACAAAAATAAGTTCAAATCATTAAATCTTAAATAAAAAATTTCTATAAAAATGTTTTATTATTTGCAAGTCTAATATTATCAAAATTATTAAAATGTTATTACTAAATTTGATTTGAGATTTAGTAATTTTAGACTTCTCTTAAATTTATATGTGACTTTATTTTTTAATGAAGATATGATATTCATAAACTCTAAACATTTAGCACGACATCGACACAATCCTATGATCTGCGACGTCCAGAGGGTTTTTTTTTTTTTCATTTGGTTAAACGCTACGTCCAGAGCTTGAGGATGACAAATAAAAGACACAAATTTCCAATGTTATTTAATTAATCTACAAGTAATTTACATTGTGAAATAAAGAATATTTCTAGAAGCAACTAATACTCTAGATTGAATGAAGTGTTATTTAATCTTTTCAAATCAATCTTGTTTAACATGCCATTAATTGAAATTTCTATATTTTTTAATGTAATTCGTGGTATTAAATGGGGATAAATTTAGAAGTATTTTTATTCTCAGATAAAGTTAATAACTCATCTCTCTTTAATTTTAATGAAATGGTCCCAAGTGTCATATAACATAACATGAGTGAGTTCATCTTTAAATTTATAAAAAGATATTTACAAATATAATTTACTGCTATTAAAATTGCTTAGACCCACTCTTTTCCTTTAATTACGAAGAAGACTAGTCAACAGGGTTAGGGATAATGATATCCAATTATTAAAAAAGATACTAAGAAACGTAATCAAATTTTTGTTTTTTCAAAAGAAGCCCAAAATTCAATGGCCTTTACCATTACAAAGAAGAGCGCCACAGGCAGCTTCCCCACTTTGGTCCACAAAAACCATCATTGTCAATCCAGCTTTTATGGGGTGGTTTCCATTTTCCAATGTGTCCTTATAACTAATGTTAAGAATAACGTTTTTAAAAATTTGAAACTTGATCACACTTTATTAGGAGATATACTTATATTTAGTATCCGTTAATATTTTGAATAAGATTGTCTCTAATAAAAAAATAAATATATATAACCAAAATAAATTTGAAGTTTGGTATCCATAATCACTATTACCTCTGTTCCCAAATATAAGAGTTAGTTTATAGTGGGATCGGAGATAATATTTAAATAGGAATACTTATGTCATTTCAGCACTTTGAGTCCTTCTTCTTCTTCTTCTTTTTTAATTGTTTTATACCAAACTTCCAATGCAAAATTCGTCTATGATTTCTTCTTGCCCAGCATACACATTTTTACTTTTAGCCCAAAAATTATCAAGAAAATCCCAATAAAGTAACACTTAAGATTTGAAATTCTAAAAAAGTAACCCCAACAAACAAAATCTCAAATTGGTCATTGGCACCAAAAGAACTTTTAGTTGAAGATTCTTTTTTCCCAAAATTCTTTTTAGTTCAAATTTTAAATAATATTTTATTGGATTTTCCCAAAATTATCTTCCCAACTGAAGCTTCTTTTTTCCTCTTCATCTTTCCATTTCCTACAAAATACTCCATTCTTCCAAATAAAAAAAAAGTGTTGAAACAATGGAGAGCTTGCCAATCTCTAATATTTAGCCTCTTAAGTTTTACTTGGATCTTCAGGGGGGAAAAAAACATGCAATATAAAACATTTTTATTTAAAGCATAATTCAAAGGAAATTAAAGTATTTTACTTGGATCTTCAGGGGAGAAAAAACATGAATTTTGTGAAAGACTGTTATTTATCACTTTCATCTCACATCTGTAAATCGAAAACCAAACATTTGGGATTCCTAATCTTTCTCCCTGTCCTGCTTTTTCTTCTTTTGGCAACCAAACAGTTACTATTTCCTTTTAGGTTCCCAACTCTTTTCTGCTTCTTCTTCCTCTCTTTCCTTTTTGGTTCCTTTTGACTTACCCTTACTGGGTTCCACTACCAGAGCCATGTCAACAGCGAGAGATCCTGCTATAAAGCTTTTCGGTAGAGATATTCCTGTAGATTCAACACGCAACACCGATTCGCCTCAAGTTATGGTATTCTTTCACTCTCCTCTATTCTGTTATTTTAATTTTAATTTTTTATTCCTTTGGAATATAAATTACCCATAAGTTTTTACGAACTTGTAATTTTGTTTGTCTTTTGAACTGTGCGCAACCATACATTCTGTAACTGGTGTCTTTTGAGCGAGTTTATTTGTGTTGTTTGTGGTTTGTGATTTTCATGGGGAGCGCAGGTTCTAGATGTATTT